GTCTTCCACCTCAGAAAAGCGTAACACGCGTAAGAAGCGAGCCAACAAGGTGGCCATGGAGCAGCTGCAGCTGTTCAACCCATCTGCTGAGATCCTCGACCACGACACACCACCACTCGTGGTCGATCACAACAAACTGAGGGTGAGGCGAATGAGTGAATGGTCTGTTCACCTTGTACCATCTGAAAACTGGAGACGTAGGCAGCGACTCTGTAACCAGGATACAACGGTGGTGTGGTGGTAGTACTAATGGTTTAACTGGTATTTAGAGGTCTGCTTGTTGTTTTGTGTTGTGTGGTTTTTTTCAGGGTCTCCTCAACCGAGCTGTGGATAGAACAGAGGGAGCTGAGGTGGATCCGCTGGAGAAGCTTTACGCTCTGCTGGCTCAGTGCATCTACAGACACAGAAACAACTACAAAAAGACAGAGCTCATCCAGGTACGAAGACCTGAGACAGGGCTGTGCTTCCTGTAGTCTTCAGACATGTGTCAGATTTCTTCAGTGATTATTAGACACTGGTCCTGTGTTGGTGATGCTACCTTCCCCCAGTTCTTTGTAATAGTTATTTACAGTATTTTAATTAAATTTAATTTAAGTATTTGTTGTTCTCATCACACTGAGACATTACAGAGATAAAGTACAACACAACTCATGGGGACCTTATATCCTAGTACTAGTAACACCTTACATACCATTTATCATAAAACAATTACTTTCTGGCATTTCCAAAAAAAAATGAGGGATCTACATCCATGAAGACAGTTTTGTGTCATTGCTCTTGATGGTTGTTTTTTGACTCTTGCGGCCATTCTGCGCCTCTTTGTAGTTCTGCATCTCTGAGCTCACTTTGAGTCTCTGGAGTCGTTTTGTGTCTCTTTGTAGTTTTGCATCTCTTTTTGGTCTTTATCTCAAATGTTAAGAGTCATTTCAAACAGGGTCTGGCACAGTGGCCCTTAGACACCTTGGGCCCCTGGGTCTGGCTCAGTAATCCATCCATGCCATCAGTAGCCCATAAAACATGTGAGGAAAGACAGCTATTGAACAATGACCTGTTTTTTATCAACAACGCTTTGTCTTGGCCTAAGACGCAGATGAAAACACAAAGACACAGCTGAAGGCTGTCTGGTCGCAGTGTCCTCACCACAGCTCAGTTTATTGTGTCTACTGTATGTTAGAAATCACAACAGTCACTTGTCCACAGAAATCAAACTGTATGAAACTCTTCAAGTACAAAGGATGTAACAAGCAGCTAATCATAACAATTTATTTGTAAAATGTAAAAACAGAAAATGAAAAATTGATAAAGAATTATTGCAAGATTTGAGCTGCTTCATATTTTCAGGTTTACGTTTGGTTTTCATTTTTCTTTTTTTTTGTCTTTTTCAGGAAATGAAGAAAGAAATTGACAGTTTCTGCTGATCCCCTGTGCCAGGTCTATTTTAATAAAACCTCAGAGCATTAATATGTGAAGTTGTTTACTCTTGTTGTTTTTACATTTAATTATGTTCATGGAACATAAGAAATGTCAGAAATACCTCAGTATTTATTCTGTTAGATGTTATTTATAATAGAGTTTTATTCATGTGACCACTTTATCAGTTTATTATGCAGTATTTAATTAATTCAGCTTCATCATGTTTTCTTTGCTGCCACCATCTATGTGCTACAGATTTATCACTCTGTATTGTGCAGGTGATGTTAGTATCAAAGGTTAAAAAGTGCATCACATGTAGAACAGTTTACCTCTGAATATTGTTAATGTTGAATATATATTTGGCTCTGATGACAGCTCAGGCAGAACAACTAATAAAAGCTAAATGCAGAAAATATTTTCCCCCATTTTTTTTTCTCATCGTCACTGTTTTTCATCTGATATTTGAGTTTAATATCAATGTTTGGTGAATTCTCTGAGTTTAAATTATGTTTGAAAATATTGTAGTTACAGGATGTATAGTTAGTATAGTTGTACTTTGATTCAATTTCATGCTAATTCATAAACATACAATTTGAATTGCACATTAACATTTTACATACAAAACATATGATGAACATAAGAAACATGCAAGAGAGAGATGCCCTGGGTCTGGCTCAGTAATCCATCCATGCCATCAGTAGCCCATAAAACATGTGAGGAAAGACAGCTATTGAACAATGACCTGTTTTTTATCAAACAACGCTTTGGTCTTGGCCTAAGACGCAGATGAAAACACAAAGACACAGCTGAGGCTGTCTGGTCGCAGTGTCCTCACCACAGCTCAGTTTATTGTGTCTTACTGTATGTTAGAAATCACAACAGTCACTTGTCCACAGAAATCAAACTGTATGAAACTCTTCAAGTACAAAGGATGTAACAAGCAGCTTAATCATAACAATTTATTTGTAAAATGTAAAAACAGAAAATGAAAAATTGATAAAGAATTATTGCAAGATTTGAGCTGCTTCATATTTTCAGGTTTACGTTTGGTTTTCATTTTCTTTTTTTTTTGTCTTTTTCAGGAAAATGAAGAAAGAAATTGACAGTTTCTGCTGATCCCCTGTGCCAGGTCTATTTTAAAATAAAACCTCAGAGCAATTAATATGTGAAGTTGTTTACTCTTGTTGTTTTTACATTTAATTATGTTCATGGAACATAAGAAAGTCAGAAATACCTCAGTATTTATTCTGTTAGATTTTATTTATAATAGAGTTTTATTCATGGTGACCACTTTATCAGTTTATTATGCGTATTTAATTAATTCAGCTTCATCATGTTTTCTTTGCTGCCACCATCTATGTGCTACAGATTTATCACTCTGTATTGTGCAGGTGATGTTAGTATCAAAGGTTAAAAAGTGCATCACATTGTAGAACAGTTTACCTCTGAATATTGTTAATGTTGAATATATATTGGCTCTGATGACAGCTCAGGCAGAACAACTAATAAAGCTAAATGCAGAAAATATTTTCCCCCATTTTTTTTC